GAGAGAGAGAGAGGGGGGAGGAGATATTATTTCAGGGCCGTTCATTCTTTTTCCCTCGTCGAGTTTCCTGAATTTTCCGGGCTTCATTATATCGCACAGTTAATAACGATAATATCAGCTTTAACTTTATTTCTGAAGAATTTAATTTCCATGCAGATTCTTAGAGTAGGAATCGACATGTAGATAAAGCGGAAAAAGCGTAATGAAGAAAGAAAAGGAATACGCGAGGGAAGAGGACGGGTATCGTAATTGCACGATATGTTAGCGAAGCGTGCATTCACGTCGATTTTTAATGTGTACGACGGTGGCAGTTACAAGATACGGCATGTAATGGTACACGGGAGTAATTAAACGGCGTATTCGCCGCCGTTCATTAAGCCGCGATAACGTAAATTACGATACTATAAATTAATAAACGTAAGTAAGGCGGCCATTTGCGTCGTAGACACGCGAGCGATTCAAATTGACTCGTTAGATGTGCGCCACAAGAGTGATCGCCCCGATATCCCGCTTGCGCACGCTTTATTTATGGGCCAATAACGAAAATCTCTTATATAATAGAATTCGCATTTACAATAGTAATTGAACAGGTGTGTGCGAGGGGCTCGCATTGCCCCGCGGGCATGCAAATAAATATGCATGGGCAATTTAAATTATTATAAATGATTGATTGTTGCGTGATGCGGAATGATTAGATTTACGCGGCCCACATTTAAGTATCTAACAAGTATACGTGATATCTGCGCGGACTATCTCGCCGCCAGAGAGAAATACTTCGCTGCCAGATCGTTTCGACCAATTTAGCGAAATTTAATGGCAATTTATACTTTTCACATCTTAATTTTAGTAATATCAATTTGATATTTTAATGCGAATTGCACAAGACTGATAAGATAAGATTTATATATTGCAATAATAACGGTAAACACTTGGAAAATGTGATCCGATGTATCGCTCTCGTTTCTAATGGAGTCAAACGCGAGCGGTAATCATTTTTGTGACGATTTTTTCAGAAACTAGATTAAGAAAATCTTGCGATTTTATCGTGAGCGCTTTAATCCGAGCTCCGAATGCACCGCGTGCAATTCATTAGTGCGCACGCATGCAACGTGCGCAAAGATCTCTATCTGCATCCGATTTGCGCGCTCGAGAAAGTTGCTTTACGAGAATCGCGCGTTTTTCATCGCTCGGAGCGTACATCGCGCGAAGTCATTTCGCGCATAGAGCGATATGGATATCCGAAAAATTCTCACAGCCGACCGACGAGCCTCGATACGCGTGGGCGATACCACCCGTCCCTTGCGTCTCTCTCTTTCTCTCTCTCTTTCTATCTCCTCCTCTCCCTCGCTCCGATCGTTCTCTCTAAACGAATACACCGATAATAATCCGTATTCCGTATCGTTAGGTTGGGTCGTGTTACGTAAGCCGTGGCGGCCTTGCATTATAGCATCATAACCATTCATCCTGTCCGTTCACCTGCAATGCGCCACACAATTTGTCCCGAGCGAACGATAGACATGCACTGATCTATAGGGCGTTCTGTCCATCATGCGCTTTCTCTCAACTGTGTAGATATCAGACAGCAAGCTGAGAAAATTGTTGCTTTTTTCGATGTTAAGATATGAGTAGTTTTGCAGTCGCAAAGGAATGGCATTCTGGCTCTCGCGAATTAAGCTTTCAGTGTAAGAGAATAGACGACAAAATCTTTTCTCGAGTAATATTCAATATTCAGTATTACAATTTTTTTATATTGACGTTTCTCAAACCTAAAAAATTAGCAGAATTTTAATTTAAAAGTTAGCTATCAATTTCTAATAATTTATTAAAAATTCATTCCGAGGAAAAGTTGATTCTAAGATGGCAAATAGTTGACAGGAATTGCACGTTACTTGGGATATGCTATATATCTAAATGCATGTATCCATTAGTGAGCGAGAAATGTTCCGTGCCGAAAACGAAGGCGCATAGATTACCCGAGAAATGTGAAAGAAATGCTGTGATCCGTGAAATAGATCCATTGACTTCCAATCATAGAATTGGTTCACTGGATAGCCACAGTATGACACTGTTCCATATTACAATTTCTGAGAATAGTTCTGCTCCAATAAGAACTCAATGAAGGGGAAATGTAAAAACTTATGCTTTACTTATATGTTAAAATCGTCATTACTACAAAATTTCTATAGAAATTTCTATAAAGTTAATCATATGTCAAAAATATAAAACAATGAACATATTTAGCAATAAAAAAATGTAAATAAAAATGCGTTGTAATTGTAAAACAAGCAGAGGAAAGAGATGGAGATTACAAAGAAAAAGAAAAACTGCATATTAAGGAATTAATGCGTCACTTTTGCGAGACAAGAATGAAATCGCGTGGTTTAATTCGACCTATAGCGCATTCGCACACCGGAAACGCGTAGCCTACAAACTCAGTAGCTCGTAGACAATTGGTCTGTCGCAAAACGGTCGAGGACGATGAAAGAGGTCGGCGAAGATGGCAATTGTGGTGACCTGGATCCGGTATCAACCGGCGATTATGCGAGACAATCGGAAAATTCGCGTCTAATAACTCGATCGCGGCGCAATTAAGTGCATAATTAATCGATATTTCTTGGCAATCGGCTTTTGGTGTTCGTTACGAGTGCTAATGTCGCCATTAGTCTCGCTGCCATAACATTTGCAGCGACTAAAAGGACAACAAGCCGGATCCGCTTGATAAGCGCCATAAATTTCGCCTGTCGCCGCAGCGACGTGCATTAACGACCATTAGAAAATCGTCGTCGAACCGGTTGCATTGCCGTCATTGATACTTTCGTTATTCCGTAATAAACGAAGGATCGCATGTTACGCAAAACGTGGTCGCGCGTCGCGCGCTGCGCTACGCCCGTTTCATAAACACAATAACAACTAATGATAATTTCTTCACTTGTTAAGACGCACAAGACAGACTTGTCAACGAGCAAGTCGAGATTAATCTTTTGTCGCGTAGAGCATCGCATTTTTTGTTCTTGATAGATCTATTTACTGCGAAGTATGTATTGCACAATTGTGTTAACCTACTTATTTCAATGCGATTCTTTTCAAAATGTTTTAATTTCGCTTTTTATATTTGTTTTAAAGATTATAATTGTATGGCTCATTTAATTGTAATATTTCTGTAAGACACAAAACTCACAAAATCTGCGGCTTGCTCGATTCCAATTAAAGAGAAATTTTCTGAAAAATATATTGCACCGTGAAAAATATTTATTCTATGCCGTTGAAACTTTCACATTTTTATCGTCAGTGTCATCTATTTCTGTGCAGGCAAGGTTTATAGCCTATTTTTTAATTGATACATTAGCGTTTCGTTGCTTTATATAAAAAAAAGAGAGAGAGACGACTATTTCTCCCGCCGTTTCGACCCACCGCGCATTTAATGCGGCGCGTTAATGATACGCGAATGACGACGAGTTAATATTCCATATAATTGATTCTTAAAATAGCGTTCAGAACGGGTTCTCCTCGATGGCTGGCGCAAAACGATAATGCAACCGAGCCCGAGTAAATAAATCCGCGCGCACCGAACCCTGCAATGTGCCATTAGAGCCGAGCCACCGATTGGTTGCATCAAGACTTGCTCGTCGTAAAGCTAGTGAAATTGTACCCCGTTAACGTACCTCTTAATTGCAAATTGTTTTGTATGACTTACCGATTGGTGATCGCCGCGAATTGTTGAACTACGCCACGCAGAAATCATTTACAGGCATAATTTGGTCCGATTTATATCCTCTCGTATTTCTGACCGCTTTGAATCCCTGCATGTTGCATTAAAAGCGTGAGATGTGGCAGTCTTGTTATCTTGAATTTAGACAGCGAACAAGAAATGTGTACTTGCAATTTCTGAAAATTTTCAAAACAAGAAAAGAGAATTAAATAATATTTAATTATTATATATATAAATGTTTATCGAATAATATTTAATTAATATTGAATGCAAATTTTAAGACGCTTTCTTTCTCGAATTAATGTAAGATATAATCGTAAGACTTTAATGGAAAAATTGTCTAATATTTTCTTTTCTTTTGAAAAAATTTTTGTGACGTCCATGACTCGTCGTTGGCGTCTTGATAAAAAATTTATTAAATTATCGAGCAATAACGGCCGTTGCGATGCGACCGGATTCGTTAATCGACAACACGACCTGATTAAATATTTGGAAGAAGAAACGACGTAGTGACGCAAGTGGAAGCTTACCATCGACGTCAGCCGGAACGCCTTCGGAATCCGCAATGGGACGTTCGTTCGTAATGATTTACCGAGCCATCGTTTTTTTCACAAAGACCTCGTTCGGATATTTGAGATTTTTAATTCGATCTTACGTAACGCGTAATTAGTCACTCGAAGAATCGAGATCAGATTTGCACTAAAAACACGTGTGAATTTTTAATGCCTAATAATTCAACGTTGATAGCGAAATTAATCGAGTTTTTATGATATAATTAAAGGCTGGAGTTTTATGATAATTAAGAGATAATAAACTTGTTGTTATACAACTTGAGGTAATTCCATATTATAATTTCCGAAAATATTCATATGACAATTTAATCAGGAAATATTATACGATTTTTTATATACGTTTTTATTTACAATTCGATACAATACGACAGTTTGTCCGTAAAGCTCGCAGCTATGCAACCACATGCAACATACGTCATAAAACTGCAGAGTATTATATCTTTATCGAGAACTGGCCGCGATCGGCGTTATACATAATGGATTATTTAACACCTGGAGACACGAAGAGCGAAAAATTCGTTACGTTTTATATCATCGAGAAAATTCCGCTCGTGACAGTCGCGAACAGTCGCACGCACCGCGCCGCGTTTGCGCTTGTTAATTTATCGAGCAGTCCGTATAAATCGTTCGCTAGAAAAGTGTCGCTTGCATGGCGAGAAAACGCGGCATTCGGTGTCCATTTCTCAGCGGTCCGCTGACCAAGAATTTCGCGCGGTATGTTGTGTTACACATTGCGAGCGCGAACGGCACGACACGATATCGATAAATAATTTTTGCCGCCGGTGATAAATGCCTGCTGCTGAATGTGGTATTCGAGATGCTAAAACAAAGGCTCTAAATGTTTAGAAGCATGTTAGCCGGAAGAATGAAATAACTTTATGCAAATTTGACAATGGTAGATTTGTCAGTTAAAATTTGTACGGCAATTATTATTCTACGATGTGAACACGGTTCGCTACATTTCCCCCAATATCTCTGTGAATATAAATTATGTTTACTATTATAATTCCCTAGGGATTAGACCGGAGGGTTTCCCGCCTGTTGCCCAACTGTCGGAACAATTTGTCTGACACGTAAACGATGAATTTCAAACAGTCGTAACTGATTGTAAATACGGACATGTACACGATACAGTCTTGGATCTGGGTCGACGTTAAGAGAGAGCCAGTAGAACACGTTCTGGGAGTTAGATTGGATCTCCCATAGACACCCTGTATATTTAAGGTGATCCGACTCGATGATAAGGGAGAGTGATCGATAGCATGGCTGGTTTAACGCCCGTCGTGGAGAAAATTCCGATGTTCGAACTATTGAGCAGTGATTCAAAACGAAGCCGCCTCACGAAGTTATCAATAAAGTCGGCGAGATAAATAACTGAAAAATGTACGATGCGATTAACAAAACGCAGGTGTGTATTATAGCTGATTGGAAATCTATCAGAAATCAATAAAACTGCGTTAATAGAACCAATAAATAACAAAAATTAAAATTGCGGCAATCAATTAAATCTTAAATATGAAATGATTTATAAGAGATAATTTAATTAAGCATGTACCAGAAGAAAATCTAAGATAAAATAATAAAATATTCTCTAAACACTTAATAAATTACTATAATAAATAAAATACTAAATGCTTAATAAATTAATAAAATACTAAAGCAAAGAGATACAGGCGAGCATTTGAAAGTAGAGAGAAAATACTTCTCAGCTTCCAAGGAAGCACAGTTACCTCTAGAAAATCCAAGAGGTAGCGCACGTGCTCCTCGCTTCACGATTCTCCGCGATAACCATAACTAATTGCCGACCGCATCTCAGACAGTTTCTACAGTCATCGAGATATACAAAAAATAACAATGAGACGGAACACCCTCCATCTGCCACCGCTGCCGGGTTAAGAAACAAACGGAACACCCTCGGCGTCGTAAATCGCGGCCCCGATGACTCGATAAGCGTGCGCGCACTCGCGCGCATAAAAGCGCGATAAACTGCCGATCTCCTCAATCGGCGATCATCGATACCGCCGGCTAATGATCACTTCCGGCGGCCAATATCGACGCGCGCGGCGCGCTCATTGATAAATGATTACGTCAGTGACGTCGCGGGGTGCGGGATGGGTGGCCACCTCGTGAACGCCGAAGGACACGCGTGTTCGCGTGTTGTATCGGCGCGAGATTTGCGACCGCGATACCGCCGGGTCGGCCGCGATCAATATGAAGCGAAAGCCGTTGCACACACCGGGCGCGCGTCGCTCTGCGACACCGCGCCGGCGGATCGATCGATCCACCGGCTTATCGGTCGATTTGATCGATAACGCGCGGAGGGGGAAGGAGAAAAAGGAGGCATGGGTACCGCGCGATCGGTCGGTCGATCGCAGGCGTGTGTACCTACACGGCGGGCCGATAAATCGTCGGCGACGCCGACGGCGACGTCACTTCGGCGGTGCCGAGGAATTGAATCGGTCAACGGTGGACGGGCTCGTATGCGCTACCAAGTGATTCTGTAATTCTTTGCACCGTAGTCGTGTCGCTGTACGGACAGCAATATCTTAACACACGTCTCGACGAATAAAGCGAACTTTCTGTGATACCAAACATTCGCTCCGCTTGGAACATTTCATTTCAAATAAAATTAATTAAAACCGTAGCAATTAAAACTGTATAAATTTTTATCCTGCAATAAAGTCATAAAAAGAAAAAAAAGCACGCGTAACTCGAAGTTATTTAGTAGAAATTAAGTATGATTGCGTGATATTACGTAAAATCTGAGATGTATTTATTGAGATCAGCATGAATCGTTACACAATCCATTACACGGAGCATTTTATTTTATTATTCGATAAGAAACCAAATTCGAAAAAGAGCGATAATAAGTTACGAAACTTGCGCGTCGTTTCAACACACTTGACTATCTTGTCTTCCAGTTGAACTGGACTCGATCTCGGTATCTTGAAAGTTTTCGCCCGAGATAGGAGAAAAGAAGTCGCACACGTCTCTTCTCGTAATTCTGTCGGAGAGGCGAAACGAGCTTGTTTCATAATAAGGGACGCTCCTTCAATGCTGAAGAAACGGGGGACTTTAATGCGCGCAACTCGCGCGCAATTACCTCTGCTTTCTAATTCGGGCGCTTGGGAAGACGCTTGTGAAAATGATCCCTTTCGCCGTATTCGTTGTTAACTAACTCGCCCTTTCCGAGGTTCACGATCTCACGAGACTTTCGAATGTTTAGTCTCAAACATACAAACGAAGTAATTAAGCATCTGCATGATGTCATGTACTCGTGAAACTAATGGTTTCTTAATTTGGTAACCTAAATAAAATTACATACCAAGAGACATTTTCAAATTATTTTATCTTTGACGATCTTTAACGTTAAATTTCTTCAGCTTATATTTCAGAAAATTTCATAAAAATAAATTTATGTAATGAAAAGAAGAAAAAAAAAACTGATAATGAGAAGCGGTAATTTTGGAAATTACAGCTTCGAATGTTTATGTTGAGCGAGTAAGTCGGTGATTATCATGTTCGCAACACATACATCATTTCAAAAGGTCAAATACTTCATTAAAATTGTCTGCGAAACGCGACGCGTGACCCTTCCTTCATTACGCCGCGAACAAGAGCGACTTTCTCGCGAGGAAAAGCAAGGTTTCCCGGGCTGATGATTGATCTTAACACGAGCGGCTTTGCGTTTTTGTTCGCCGTGACTCAGCGAGCAGCCGCCGCTGAAAGCGACTCGAAAGACGGAGTCAAGCAGTTCTACCTGTTCCCCACGGCCTTGTTAACGAAACGATGAACGTCCGTTCGAGACCATCTTGATGCGGCTTCCGAGAATTTCGTTCCGTTCCTACTAATTACCGGAGGCGTTCTATATTCTCCCGCCTTTTAGAGTCCGTTGATGTTTCTCTTCGCAAAACAATACATTCAACAAACCGGGTCCAGTTTCGATGGAGCCTGATGTATGTGTATGTGTGTGTGTATGTGTGGTCCGGAAAAAAAAATAATCGACTAACATACCCTGCGGTATTTGTTGTTTGGGATCGAATTCAAGAATATACCACTAACCGCTTATTCGAGTATGAAAATACATTTGACGACTGCGGAGAATATAATGCGCTGAAAATAGCGACGCGAGTTTAGCATCGATATTTCCAAGAAATTGACTTTCAAAGCATTGCAATCGAAAGTTCTGGAAACATTGAATATGCGGGCCGTACGAGATGTATCTTGGAACAAAAACAACTGACATTCAGTTATTCGAATAGAATCTTTCTTTTACCAGAAAAAACGGCAAATCTCTAATATTCAAGGTTGATGTTATATTATATTGTCTGAAAATTCAGATAAAATATTTAGAAAATGATACGCGCTAGTAAAATATGAGAAATATCAATCTGAAAGGAAATCCATTTGAAAATCGATTACTTTTCCTTTTTAGGTTCGCGATATCGTAGAGGAGTGCACATGTCCGACACAGTTCCCGATGATCCATGTGGCCGAGGGCAAGTATCGAATTGGCGACACGAAGGTCACGATCTACGTCCGGGTCCTACGCAGTCACGTAATGGTGCGTGTCGGCGGCGGATGGGACACTCTCAGTCACTATTTGGAGAAACATGATCCTTGCCGATGCAGAAACTGTAAGTATCGCGTCCGTTTCATCGAATCTATTTTTTTTTTTTTTTTAACCGTAACGATGCAATATGATAAATCTTTCTTCTTGCCCTTTCAGCGCACCGCTCGATGGTCTCAGCGAAACTCATTCAAAAGGCCGGCGGATCTTTCGATCTGGGCAATGCGCAGGTGCATTATGAACGGTGAGTATCACTTTTTTTTTATTACAGTGCAATTTTAATTATATATTCAACGCCAGAATGACACACAATGGCAATGAAATTGAATTTGCTTTCAAATACAGCCAAACATTGAAATCATTAAGTTAAAAGGCAAGTTTCAGTTCTTTTTCATTTCGAGTTGTTTGTAAATATAGCGAATTATAATTATTCTAATATTAAAATTATGCAACGTAAAAAGTCTAGTTTGCCAATATTTTACATTACCCTCGCATGAATTATTCTCGAGATTATTTCAAACAATTAAATAATAAAATTATTATTCTGACTTTTAAAATATTTTTCATGACATTTTGTGTCGTATCATAATTATCGCTACGCCTAAGACCTTATTTTGAACATAAATATCAACCGGTATATGGCATTTGCACCACTGCCTGAGTTATGGAGTTATTCCATCGCGAGACATTCTATGTAGGTATAAGATAATAAAATACGCGGATGCAAGCGCGCATTGTGTGTTACACATACACTGATTGTGAATAACTTACACTACCGTCTACAAGTGCATTAGACTTGCAAAACAGAAAAACAGTCTTTAGGTAAAAGTAGACGACATATATCGTACGTGTCTTAACTTTTCCGACAAATGCGTGCAAAGTATATTTATTAACGCTAGTGATTTTTCCCATAAAATATTCTTTACGTTCGCAAACTTACGGCCGGTGCTGTATAACGTCGTGACATTTCGTCGCGTGCGCGGGAAACTGGAAATTCTCCGTTGCACAGCCGGGTCAGTGCGGCCTGACGATAACGACCGACATCAATTCCGCCGTAACACCCGGCCCGTTGTTCCCACCTACAGATCATCACCTCCGAGAACCCGGCGGAGTTCCGCGTCGAGCGTCGGCTCGGTACAGAATCTGCAATCGGCGCAGCTGCACGCACCACCCAGAAGCATTTCCAGCAATCGCTCGCGATCGCCCACACCTCACCGACCGGCAGCCGGCAGCAAGCAACAGCATCAGCAGCAATCGAGCGACGAGCAGAAGAAACGCTCGAGGAGTCCCACACCGCATAGGAAATTGCTGGCGAGCCCGAATTACCAGCCCGATTTGGCGAAGCAGAGATCAAGGTCGCCGACGCCTAGGGCGAACCTGAGATCGAGAAGCCCGACGCCGCGCGTGGAGCGGAAGAACATAGATACGTCCAAGAGAAACGCCGCGCATAACGAGGAGGCGCGATCGCCGACGTATCACGGGAGGCTTCAGGAAAACGGCCGAGTAAGTTCAATTTTATTCCTCTAGTCAAATGCACCGTTAAAAGGCTGATGTAACTTTTCGAATAGGAAATTTGTAATTTTAATATCTTTCTATGATAAAATTTCGCCACAGTCATAAAAGAGAAATAGTTTTAAGTGAAAATGGACTACATCGTCCTATTCTGACAAATAAATTCAAATAAATTCGTTAATACATTAATGATTTTCCTCACAAATCTGATCGTTCTCATTTACATTCGTGAATGACCTTCTACACGTCACGACATTTCGTTGCGAGCTCGAAAGTGGATTGTAACAAAATAAAATAATTACTTTCGAATTTTTTAACTTCGATATGTCACGAAATCTCACGGCGATCTCTTTGCGTTTGTTCAGGAGAGCGGCCTTAAAGTGCCAGGAGAATTCACTAAGCGATACGTCGTCGAGGGCGGCGTGGCGCGTCGGGCCGTCGAGAAGGACGACACGCCGAAGTACGAGCCGTCCATCTACAATTACAAGTGCAGCGAGGACTCGAGTGGCAGCCGTAGCTCCACGCCGAGCAAGGAGGACCAACCGGCCCTCGAGACTTTCGGCAAGGACGCTACGGCGAACACCCAGAAGTCGCCGCACGGTGACGGCGAGCACTCGGACAATTGCAGCGAGGTATCCGACGAGGGTTACCGAAGCCTCGGTGCTGTCCAGCCGTCCACTGCCAACGGAAATTCCGCCAGCACTCAGGGCTCGCCCACGGTTGCCGATTGTCAAAGTAAGTGGACATCGTACACTCGATATCGCGTTTCGCAATGGGATTTAATCAGAAATTGCTTCTCCGTATTATCGCCACTGTTCGCAAAATAAGACGGTCGTTTTTTTTTTTCTTTTTTTGTTTTACATCCGAGAATAATAAAATCGATCTTATTCGGCGAAATTGATGTAGACTCGCGACATTTGTTTCCGTTGGTAATGAATGAAATACGGCGACGCGTTGATCAGATTCGAGTGCCCAACGTTGGGACGTTTACGCTCGCCATCACGCGAGCGAGTCATCGAATTTAATAAGAGAGTGCGCGGAGAGACGAGGAGGGAGGGAGGAGGACGTCGATGCACGATGTGCCGGCGCGCTCGTTGAACAAACGCGCATTGTGCGGCAGACGATCGAGGCGATGTCGCGTGTCGAGGCGCGAGACGAGAAAAAAACTCGTGCTGATGCGAATCGAGAGATTAAATTCGATTACGGTGACGGGGCGCGCGAAAATAGAGAGAATGAGATCGCGTGTGCGTGCGGCGCGAGCGGAATTTAATACTCCGCGCGCGCGACGTTTATCTCCGCCTGTCGATCTCGCGGATATCGACAACGACGAATTAATTCGCTCGTTGAGACGGCACTTTGTGCGACGATAGATAGAGACGATAAATTTTCTTTGTCAAGAGGAAGGAGAGATAATACGCACAGAGAAAGTTGCTCCGCGTGAAAAAGGCAAGACAAACGCGCGGAATACGTGAAAATATGAAACCTTGAGAGTAATTTTTTACATATCCACTTAAACCGTTAGTTGCCTTGTATAAAAAAAAAGGCAGATCGATCGAGATACGTAAAAAATAAAATCTTGAAAATCAGTTAATCTTTTACGCATTTACTTTTTACGTTCTGTGTCAAGTATTTACTATAATAGAACATAATAGAATTTTATTTATATGAGTTTCTTCTTTTTTTATTGTTTTATCTTTCCCTTTGCTGAAATCATTTCTGAACATTACGATGCTTCTATTTAGAATTCAAGGAAAATACATAGGGATCTCGTCAGATATATGGTGAGAGCCTGATTTAAATATAATCTTGTGAATTATTGACGGTATTTTCTCGAGATTTAAAACAGTGTATTAATGCTGTTGTTATAAGCTAAGAAATAATTTGACAACAGAAATCGTGGAGATCCGAAAGTGCCGTTAGTTTATAATACGCACGTTTAAATGAGCTGGTAAAAGCGATCTTGCAATGAAAGTCTAGTTTGCATCTCTAGTGCGATCGAACTGTCGCATAAATCCCATGCGATTTACATACAATGTGCACAAATTATTGAGAATTCATACGAATCTACACGCATACACGCGCGCGTCTACTACTTGAACGTCTCGTATTAATTACGCACCGTTGACGTGGGATCGGGCGGGCCTTTATCGGCTTATCAAGGACCGTCCTGCCAATCGAATCTGACAAAAGCCGTCGCGCTCGAGATTTCGATGGTGGCTCGCGATCGCGTCTCGCGTATTTTCGGACGTACGAGGACGTCGTCCTCGCCAATTCTCTCGGGCTCTCCGCAACTCGTTCGCGAATACCTGACCCGACATTTGGACCACCCGGCCGACGATTAATATTCAAAGTACACGGACACGTAGCACGCGTTATAAAACCGCGCTCCGCATGGGCCGGGCTGACATTTAGCCGGTGTGCCGGCGAGCGCCGATTATGCGAGAGATCGCTCGAAGCGTGGGCGATCTCCAACAACCTGTCCTCGGAACAATCGCCGCCGGTCGATCCTCGATAACACTCGTCGTACGCTCTCGCCTTGAACACACGCAAGTGTTCATGTACTCCGAGGTACTTGACTCACTTGACGCGGTTGACGCATTGCCGCAAGTGGAAAAAGTCAGCGGTGGTCGGCCAGCCGCGCAGCGCGACCCGCTTCGATCGTCCCGATGCTTTTCCTCGCGGCGAGTTGAACGGACTAGGACAATTCTAGCTTAACTCGGTGACCGGAACGCTTTTCACTTGGAGTGACGTGGAAATAACAACTTTTTTGAGGAAAAACAACTCTTTTGCTAGAACTCGAGCCAAATCGCGGTGACGTACGACGTAAAAGATATATGTATGTCTGTTTTTCACTGACTAAATTTGGAACATTGCACTTGTTTGCAATTAAAATGTGTCTTTAAATTTGTATAAAGTATATATAATGATGGCTCTTCTCATTTATTATTATAATTATTTTCTATTTTATCACAAAAATAAGTATTTCTAATTTTTTTTAATTTTTACTTAAAAATTCTATTATTCAATCTATACAACGATTATTCAGAGATGCTTTAAGATATAAAATTTTTTACAAACAATAATATATTTTCTTCTGTATTTGCTCATTGACTCATCTTTCATTCTCGTTGCATCGTCGAGATAAATTTTCGCGTTATATTTTGCGAAGAATGAAAAAATGGTCCAGAAGTTCTAAGCAACAAATCTCTTATTGATATTTACACGAAGTCACCGGAGGCGATCTACGATGACTAATTTATTTACATCGATATCTTTAATTTATGCGATGGCGCTAGAACGCGTATATTTCGAAGACATGTAGCGAGATACTTGACTTGTTTTACAGCGATGAAATATGCACGCAACGTACCTACTTTCCGATGTACTTTACATCACGTTCGCGATGCCTGAACGTTCCGCATCGATTTCGAAGGAGATTCGCGTTCAGTCAGGCGAGAAAACTCCTTGGCATCGAGAGTAAAAACAGAAACGCGCGGCGATTAAGATGGTCAGGTGAGACAACCGTGAAAGTGCATTAAGACCGTAGCGAAGAAATTTTTTTTACATACTTAGAGAATTAAACTGACTGTTCACCGGAGGTTTGCCTCGGAATTGCGAATATCATTTCTTAATTATTTCAATAATCACGTTAGATTCGGACGGACTTAAGCAATTAGCAAGAAAGACTGAAAGTTAAGAAACTATCTCGCAAGAAGTTAACTTTAAAGCATGTTCGTTTGTCACGTCATGCATGAAGCACTGCCCAAGAGAATTGGATCTGACAACGATGTGCAATTTTTTGGGGCAGCGAAAGAGATTTCGCGATTTCACTGGATTCGTTCCAATGCTTCCGAGCGTATCGTCGTTATTTGGCAACCTTCAACGCAACACATGGTAGTTTCCTTACGATTCTTCTAAGACAAAGACAAACTATTAATTTCCCTCGTAATGTTTTATTGCGTTAGTTTGCAAAACTATTTATTTTTGTACTAAAACTATTCTCTTTCACAAAGGATTAAAATTCTTTTGTGAAGACAAAACTATATGGATTCAATGATATATGAAAGATTCAGAAGATACGCGAAGATCTATAATTTGCTCGTTATAAATCATAAATCTCGTAAATTATACGCTTATTCATTTTTTTATGCTATAAAACGCCTTATATGATATTGGACGGATATCATGATATCGAACCTAATATTAATTGGATTTAGCATGCACGTCAACGCAGGTTTCTTCGCAACAGATTCAATTCGTAATTCATTTGCGTAATTTTAATAACAAGTTCCAAGGACTCGTTAGATCGATAAAGCTGAATCCGGTTTGACCAGCAGCGTGTTACTGGGACGAGATCTCGAAATAGATTTTCGATTCCTGGATTTTAATTACGGCTCGCGCGCAAATGTATGTATATCTGCCGTAACTCAACAATCTCAAACCGGACACGTTAATATTTATGCGACATTTTTGTGTTTACGCCAATTCGCGATCAGGATTTAAAAAAAACGCTACACGTTATCGATAGCTTGATCGACTGTTATAAACTGACGAGGGTTGAATTTAATGTAGTCGGTGAAACGTATTCCAAGAAATCAGTTTTTTTCGTCAAAATAAAGAGGAGATTCGGCAAATATCGTTTTCTTGTTTACGTTTGTCCGAAAGGAGTCAATGCCATTCTGCTATTCTCGTGCGTGGCATCGATACATGAATTTAAAAGTCTAATTTCTCTTCTTCGGCAAAAAATGGACTTTCTCTGCGGTTTAGACCGTGGGTGCGTACAAAATGCGCGAAAACAAAGCGGGACAACATGCGACACGATGACATCAGCTGATCAGAGAAACACGAAAGCCGATATTATCTACGAAATATCAAGGAATGAGAGTTTTAAAGCGAAAAATGATAAAATATTAAATTTAGCATAAAAGCCAAAATTGTAAAATTTTCAATCATTGTGACTTACTGCAATGTGTACGTTTCATTGGTTTTCTTATGAAATCTAAATTTCACAAGAAAGTTTCAATTCAATTTTATTTTCTGCAATGAGTAAACATTTTATGTTCTTTTATGTAATTTGATAATAAAAATCTTGTAATCGTCCGAATAATATTCATCAGTACGACATTAATAGCATATTAAGCAATGTAATGAGTGTGAAATATACGATCAGTAATTAGTGTATAATGTAACATAAGTCATGTTAAATGGATGTGATATAGTGGCGTCTATAGAAACTTTCACATAACGTGTTACGTAAAAATCATGTAGCGACAAAAAGCGCAAGTTCGTGTTATATAAAGCAACAGAAAAGTCACGGTGACAATTCGCGGACACTTGAAATCTCGACGAAAAGAATGTTCATTGGCTTTTAAAATTCGTTGTTGTCTTCGACCTATCGTCGCAGGTGTATCGTTCTTGTCGATGCAAATCGACCAGGACCCACAAGTCGGTTCCAATTATGTCGAAGCCCGTTCCTTCAACTCGCCCACGCTAAATATGCTAAGCGTCACGGCTGGACCGATCGTTTCAATGATCACCGATTTCTCAATATCCTAAATCACGCGAAAGTTGACATGTTGCGGTGATGAAAAGAAAAAAAATCTCCCGAATCCAAACGCGGGCGTTTGTCATCGAAAATGTCACCGCAACAGCGTGCTAATGTGTCGCCACGCGGAAATGACGAGATTGGAACGATAATTACACAATCGTGTAATGATTTGCTTTTATATAATCGGTGGTTTCTAGCTGTTGAAAATGATATGAACGGGAGGCGTATAATTTTTTCCCGAGCTGTCCAGTTGCGGTTAATTAATGAGCTTCGCCAAGCTCATTAACTTCATTTTAAACGCCACAGTCACAATTAGTAATAAATTCACTTAAATAATAACTCTGCTGTTATGAAGATGATAATATTTTAACAAAATTGTCATTGCAATTCAATAAATAATAATACTAACATTAATTCAAGAGAAAAATATAAAAATCGATTCTCTGTTTTATTTATTTACCAAACGCAATTAACTTCAGTTATATGCTTACTATATATGTAATACATTTTATATCTTTTTAATACTCGAAAAAAGGCACACACAGAGAAAGGCAATTTATGTCTTCCGTGAACGTTTTCAATTATCCTTGAATTATTAAAGCTGTTTTTCTTAGCAATTAATGCCGAAACAAACAACGGTAATTAATCGCGAGTCTCAGATTCAGCGTAAACACGCGGTTTCGCTTTTCCTGTTTCAGAGCAACCTCCAAAAACGGAGCCCGAAGAAAGATCTGGCGTGGAGACTGACAGTATCGAGACCGGATTACGCAAGGTGGTGCGGAAGGACAGACTGGCGAGCCCCTTACGAATCTCCTCTCCGTCCAGAAGCGTGGCGTCCTCGTCGACAGGCGACAGGACGCCACGCGCCGGTTCCATCGTGCGCGAGAGCAGTAATCTGTCGAAAACATCGTCCGATAGCAGGACACTCAAGGACAACAACTCGAGCCCGGAAAGCAGTCCGTTGAACCGCGGAGGGATAGGAACGATTCGCAACAAGAGTAACGGAAGCTACGGCACGCTGCGGAAGTCAACTCCGACCGGAAGTCTCAGCAAGGCGTCCTCGCCGATACCCAAGTCGCCGAGATCGCCCGTAAGCGGTAGCGCTACGTGGAACGGCCGGCAGACCAGACGGCGGGCCAGCATTCAGTCGGACACCTTCCTGGATCCAAAGTCCACGCCGGTCACGTGCGCCACGACGCCGAGTTTCTCGCGGAAGAGCCCGGGAAGGCAGAGTCTGCAGTGCCGGCCGAGTCCGAACGGCGGGATTCAATACGACCGGAACGGCAGGAGGATCCGAACGTCTGCCGCGGGGACCGGCTCGCTCCAGTCATCGCCCACAAAGGTAACAAACCCATTGCTTGATCAAATTCTCCAGAAGCTGGGCGATTTGAAGGACGAGCGCGAGATGGTGCAAAAGCTGCAGGGTCTCCTGAGGGATTACCGGGCCCACGCGACCGACGGCGCCGAGAATATGGAGTTCGCCAAAGTATGGGTGGACAGTAACGGGACCATGACCGTTCCCCAGGACGTTCCCCAGGTGTCGGTCAGCCCCAGGAAAGACCCGAAACCTCAGGAAGGATTCTCGAGGATCCCGGTGCCCCGCGCCGTTCCCTACAAGAGACCGATGTCCGTAGCGTCGGACAGCGTTTGAGGGTGGTCTCTTATCCCCTATCGGCCGAGTCTTGACGAGAATCGAGGTCTGTGGACCGGCTGTAGCCTTCGTGCGTTAGGCTAAGTTAGGCTGATCGGATCGGTGCTGACGTCAGTGAGGGCAACCAGGTATGCACGAGTAATTGCGTCTCTTGACTAACCGCGCTTGATTCTTCATTCAATTTGATAGATGGGTCGGACGTCTCGATCGCAATATCGGATGAGAAGGAGTATACGTTTCCTAGAATATTGCGGTCTAAGGATTTGAATAGGTTTTAGAAAATACTTGAGGAATTCAGGGATTTGTAGCATATAGAGATTTGTAGAGGCAAAGAATTAAAAAAAAAAAAGAAAAAAAAAGAAACAAAAAAGGCAAAGTGTCTATGATAAAGACTGAAAGCTGCTAATAATAAGTTTAGACATTCTGAGACACAAAGTCGTATATTTTAGATATCCAATGTCTGAATGTTTATACAGTCTAGTGCTCAAAACTTAAAAAATCCTGAAAGTCGAAAAATTCAAGATCTCAACATCTAGAAATTCGGAAACCGCGAGAGCTGAGTCTCGAAGAATCCTAAGAACAATGCCCTTGTCGCGTGCATGTTTATTTTACTGTCATCGAGTTATCGTCGTCGCAAACAGTACGACGCTTAGGATATGGCTTTCTATTTCTGCTCTTCGCCTACGCCTTCAACAACCATCATCGCAGATCGAAGACGTCCGACCGTAGAGTAACTTAACGGGCCTTAACGGTACGGGGTCAATCAGTTAGTAGCTCTTAGTAGTCACGTATCGGGGTGGTGCTTAGATGGTGCTGAACAACGAGACGACGTTTACGACAGCCAGCGAAGTGAAAGAGTGAGAGAGAGAGAAAAAGAGAAAGGATAATGGTGGAGTCGGAAACTCGTCCCGCGGATAAATTTTCAGTTGATTAAAGCGGAATCAAAAATGAGCAATTAGCTGCGGCGAGTTCTTGCGTTAATCGCTTGCCAGTCGATTTATTTCCAGTCGCTTAATTATATCCTATACGCTCATCGGTTATTGGATTTGAAATGATAATCGTTAGATTATCATGCAAAATTTTAGAGTGCGAAATAAAAATTTACAACAATAAATTCTTAGTTTCTTTAAGTTTTTAACCACTGTGTTGCGAGAAATTAGACAAACATTGATTCGATAACTTTTCTACGTTGAAAACCCTGGCAATTTTCGTTCAATTTTATAGCATTTTACGTAACAAAAATCAAAGTATGGTATTTTAAGAGTTAATACGACCGATCGATGGCGCCGATCTTCGAGATCATCAGGAGGATCGGCATTGTCGATTGTTGAAAGATCATCGCAATTGCTCGGTCCACTTTATCGTCGCCAATTGGGCGGCACCTAATCATTTTTATTTAATTATATAGTCTATCGATTGTATTTATTAAAGATGATTTATTTACGCGTTACGACCTCGCTATGAAGGAGAGGAAGAGAATGAAAAAGAGAAAGGAACCGAGGAGAAATAGCCGAGAAATAGTTGAGTGGATATTGAAGAAGATTGGATAAAAGAGAGAGAGGATTCCGCTCGCGGATTCTTCGGAATGATGATAAATCAAACGAAAATCCCCCCCCCCCTTCCCTTTACCCGCCCAACCTAAAACAGACTGCATTATGTAGATAGCGACGTGTGTCGTCGGACAAATGCCATTCCAGTGTTTAACTGTTTTTTATACCAAACGCGAGCGTAGCGCCAAGTTTTGTACCAAGTGTCTTAGTAACGGATTAAGGCGGAAAGAAAAGGGTTTATTTTGTCGACGGGAGGCACGGAAGAGGAATATTTTTTAGTATCATGGTATATGCAAACAGACGGTCATTATACTTCGGCTGCGAGTAGGAACGTTTCCGATATTCGGACGATAACAATATCTTTTGTCCGTTCGTTTCCGTCACGCTGGAGCTCTTCGAGGAAAGTCTCCTTTATAATCGTTCGCTAAGTATACGGAAAGAAAGAATTTTGCTATTGCAGTGATGAGAATCGTGGCCGCTGTTGCGTATTAGAAATGATAGCGACAAAATTTCGCTACCATAACCATAATATTAATTCGATCTATCGGCAAAATCTGTTTTATTGACAGAATAGATAAATTTGGTCAAGTAAAAATAACTTATTTCTAACAAGTACATTTTAATATTGCGACGAAATTGTTGCTGCTAATACATATTTGTATTGCCAAATCAAATTGTTATAATAGCGATATAATTTGCCAATTTAGTAGAATTATTTTCAACAAATAAATTTAGTATTCGTAACAAATCTTTTGCTGCCCATAAAATAATTAATACATCTTGCCCTGACAGCGTAAAATTCGCTGTGCCAAGTTCTTTTTTTCCGTGTACATACCTACGTTATATGCCGATCATATAGGAAACTTATGAAAATCGAGGCGAATTTCTCAAGCGGGAAATCCTCTCAGCCGAGATGGATTCGTACCTTCTTGCCTTATTCGGAATTCGAATGATTTCCTACATCTCGCGTATAACATCGTCGTGTTTTCTGTACATGCAATACGCATACACACAAGCTAACGCTGCCTGTAAATACTTTCGCGAGCAGTTTCGGCGGAGGATCATTTACTCGGCTATTACAATTAAATTGATCTCTAGTCTGTAGACGGCCATGGTGTGTGTGTATCACTTACGATTAGTTCGCTTCGAAAAAAAGTTCGCGCAACGATGGTTGGCGAATGCACACGCGTGACGGGTAGTCGGAGAAAAAAAGAAAAGATAGGCGGACTTACCCGGTCTGACGGGACTGGAGTTCGGTGCTGCGCGGTGCAGGGCGTTTTCATATTCTGTAAATATAATGAGTACATTGTTAGAAACATATCTTCGTTTTTAAACCGTGTAAAATATGTTTTACTAAGTTAAGCTAAGTTGACTTAACCCTTCGGTAATCATCGTCACGATTAACACGGGTTATTTGTTACGCCTCGTTAGTTTACTATATAAGATATGTATTTTTATATATGAAGTTCTCGCGTATCGTTATATAAAAGAGCATTAGTATTAGTGTGTGAAGAACGCTTCGAAAAGTAGAATGAACAAAATCCAAAGTCGCTTCAATGAAAATGCAAGTGATCGCGATATCACGTGACAAAAATTTTTTGTCTTCACTCGGAGTGAATCTTTACACGAACGAGCTCATACGAAAGTTCTCATTTTCGCCGAGAATTGAGTATCCGTTATTGAAGGGTTAAGTACGCCGAGATACTAAATCACCGAACACCATTCTCAGCGGAAATCAGGAATAGCCGAGCACTAAAAAAAAGGTTCACTTGCAATTAGCATATGATGCGCGCAATAATAACTTCTGTGGAATATCAATGTAAACGATGGTGTTATATTTTTCTTAAACCATTTCTCTTCGAACTGCCACCGATTCTTTAAACGTTAGGCACTTCAATCGATATTATCGTCATTTGCATATTTTCCAATCTTGACCTAGAATAAAAATGCACGAGAAAAACGATATTTGTTCACATATTGGAAAATTGCACGATGGCGGTGCAGCGTAGCAGTGTCTCGAGTATTCGCGCATCGATATTCGATAATCGGACACGTTTGTCCAAAACGATCCTTGTGTTTCCGCAATAAAAAAAAAAAAAATAGCGCTCGCTTGAGCGCTGCTTTTCTAAACAGTCACAGCTTACCAGAGCGATCTGGTATGAAGAAAGATAAGAGAAAGATTAGTTGTCCCGTTATTTCGCGCGATAATTTAAGCGCCGGGCGGCTAATTCTTAGGCCTAAGCTTTTGTAACCCCAACGATATCACGGCCGTGCGTTAATGATTAAGCAATACGATTACCAATATTAATATTATTATTGCAATTATTGCTATGATCATGATGATGATTACTATTATTATTATTACTATTATTACGATTAATATTATCGTCAGAAGAATAACGAAGATTAATTGCTACGATTATTATACGCAACGTTGCCTATGTTACGTTATCATTTTATCTATGAACAGTTGTAAATTGACCAAAAACTATATAAAAAGATTAATAAAAGGCCTTAACAAAAAACCATCGATGTTTATTTCAATTTTCTCTCTTGTTATTACAGTTTAACAAAAAAGTAAACACAATACGCTGCAGATTTAGTGAAATATCATCAATGAATTACATTTCCTTCGAACTTTCCTTTTACTAGTCAAACCATGCTTCATACTTATTTATTTATACTTTTTGAGAATTAATTATTAATGTGTAGACAACCGTGAAATGGGATTCTATTTAAAACATTGCAAAAGACCGAAGTGGAGGATGTGAAAATCCGCCGTATTTTCCGGCCGTTTTTTCCACGTGACGACAGCGAGAGAGTACGCGGGATCCGTTATGAGGCCCAGTACCACACGGACGAGCGGCCTTGCCGCATATGGCGAGACGGCTCTCCTCGAGAGTACCAACAACACGACCAACAATGGTGTACGAGCGGCGTTGCGTGTGTGCGTTAGAGTGTGCAGGCCTCTCCTCCTCGGGCCCCGAGTGCGCGCGAATCTCGGAAGGAGCCATTTTTGAAACGTCCAGCCGTCGCGCGAGAGATTTACGATCGGCCGTAGTAGCCTCGATAATAACAGCGACGATTGTGCCAGAGTTTATAGATATTAGCATAAAAGCCGCACGAGTGGCCGTGCGTATTTTCTGATCAATGGGAGTTCTTTCCGTCAAAGTTTGCAATTGATTCCGGTTACTTTTCAAAAAGAACTGTTTCGGCGCAAAGTGTGAAAATCTTTCGCGCATTCTTTTGTCGACGAGGATTTAAATAGAACGCATCTCAACAAGCGTTGAAAAATTAGACCATGCGAAGTAATAATAGTCATGATAATAAATGCTGTGATACGAATATCACTTGCTAATTGCATCCGTTCATCAAAATTGTTATTTATGCTAATTATAAATGATGAATATTACATGCGGTTTCTGTTGGCCGCATAATTGCTGTCATATGCAAACTCTTATTAACGCTAATTGATGACCGTTTCGTTTATTAACGGAACGTGGGCCATTAAAATTCGGTGTCGTATAAAACCATTTAAATTCATGTCTCAGTTACTTCAGAGTATGTATTTATAGATTACTCGAACGTATGCAAGTCGTGGGATATTTATTTTTGGTAATGTCATTTTTGGCATCAGAAATTCAATGGCGAGCCTTACATTCGGACATAACAATTTTACGACGGAGTTTTATATCAACCATAAATATTATGTAATAGATAGATGCGAGTCGTAAAGTCCGAATAGACAGAGGATTTGAACGGTGGGCGAAGCAGGTGTAAAAATGTGCGCCGGAAAAATTGGACGACTGCGAGCGATAATACTCGTACCAGTCCGGTCGTTCGATCGTGATTAACGCCGATACCATGCGCTTTGTCGTTATCCCGAGTACCGGTGGAGAACACGTGATTTGTCAACGTGTGGAATTTTAACGGGCGCCGCGCTCAGGTGAGGCCAAGCGCGCCTTCGGTATTATGTTTCGTGTTTTTCGCTTTGCCCATAATAACGTTTACGTCGCGGTGAAAGTACTCCCACGCTCCCACGCTGATGACCTTACCTCATCCGAATTTGCGCCACGATTTTATTGCCGGCGAATATGCGGATTGCGTATAAATAGAACACGCCGCTCACGCTCGCGTACGCACGCAAGCGTCCCGCCGTAACGAGAATTATTTACGTGACGATGCGTGAACAAATCATAATTCTTAACGAGAAAGAATGATCCGCATCTCTCGCCTGCGTTATTATACTTTGTATAAAAATAAGATATCACTGAAGGTTGTGCGCGTGCCGACAGATATTCAGAAATATTGTTAAGTGTGCTGCAACATTTAAAAAAATTATATGTCTTGAAATATGGGGCTGTTATTGTCGTAGGAAAAGTTACAGACATGCCACGTGTAATAAAGATACAGATTTCGTAAAATAGCATAGAGATTAAATCACACTAATCTTATCTTTATTGTACACTGACATGTTAATTCCACGAAACAAATATCTTTCAAGCCGAGCTTACGATCATAATGCTAAATATACTTTTATTGACAGAATATGATAAGATTAGTCATATATATATATTCTAACCACTGCGCACACTTTGATATTTATGCAAATACCAAATGCGCAAGTATATTTAGAAGCGGATAAAGCCACGACGTTGTCTAAATTAATTTGTCCACCACGTCTTATTGTGCGATATGCATCTGCAAGGGACGAATGTAATGCATGGTACATAAAACGCTAATGACGCGTACTACCGCCTCGATATGAACGTTACGTCAAATTTATATGATTAGCTGTCCGATAAATAATCGAACGTGGGCGGAACAGGCAGGCTGGAATACAAGGCGCATATATTAATGGTGCACTTTGAACATTTTTTAATGGACGATGTGAGCGAGCATCCGGTCGCGGATGCGAGGATACTCAAACACTTGCGGTTTCGGTAAATGGCGTAATTGAAGATGACTTTTTGTCAGGAATTCTTAGCCCGCGGACAAGTGGGTCTTTTGTTTATTTATTTCAGGCTTTTTAGACTCTTACGTAACGGCGATGAATGAAGCGAATGATGAAACGATTAATGAAGCGCTTTAGAATATCCAATTGTAATTTACAATTCAAAAGTTGTCGAGAATTGATTTATGATTTAGAAAAGTTACAAAAACGCTGAATCTTGGTTTTAGACTAGAAAGACAATTATTTTTTTTAGTTGGAAAAATATATATATAATTACATGAAAATATTGATTAGCGAATAAAATTTTGCAAGTCTTTTCACAATGATGAGTTGAGATGCAGACGAATCGTTATTATTAGTTTTGTAAAGCAGTATCCCGTCGCGAAATGAGCGATAGAAAATGGAAAGTGCGAAATTAGAAAAGTTCATAAGTCTCTCAATGATGTTTATTTTGCGTTCGTGTGGAACTTCATTAAGAAGTGAAATCTGCAGTTAACAGCCGATCGCGCATTCATCAAATTTGATAGGAAAGGCGTTCTCCGTAATAATAGTCACGAGAAGAACTTAAAAGATCGAAGCCGGCGGCAATCCGTCGAAAATCGCGAAAGCCTCAGTAATAACTTCAATGCCATTCCCGTAAGTCATCACGAAAATGAATATTTACCATATATCGAATTTATCAATACGGTGAATATTCTTTTTCTCACTAATCAAACCTGCAGAATTTGTTTCTCTTGTTTCGGAAATTTACATAATAAAATTTTAAAAAAATCTAAGCTAATATTCCGATTCAATATTGATTACAAAATTCATGCAAATTATTTGCACTAAATTTCAATTATTAGAAAATTACATAAAGCAGCATAAAGATTGTTTTCAAAATAATATTTTAAAATCAATATAGACTTTTACATTTTTGAGATTAAAGATCCTCTCTTCATTAATAATAAAAAGAAATAAAAGTAATTTTTTAAAGAAAAGCGTGCTAATAAGTTTGTTCATCATTGTAATAAGATTTCAAAATGATTCATGGCGATAGCATCTTAATTAATAGCGCAGCGTGCAAGGATCATGTCGCTCGCAAAGGACAAACAGAAAATGACAGGAGGCCTGTCATCTTCTACGAGCCGTCTGCAGCAGTGTGTATACGGAAGCTTCATTATCTGCGCGCGCGTGCGTTTTCCCATTTATCTATCTCCGCGGAGAAGCCGAGATTTCAGATTACGCGGTGAATAACATTAAGATCTTCATCGCACGCCGGCTAATCGAATCGAATGGGCAACGGTTGTTCGGGACGCTTTTGCCCGAAGTACCTCGGCTGCCTCGTGGGCGGCACGCAGGTGCCTCCGGGTTCTCCAGAGAAGTGCGTAGGTACTACCTACGCCCACCTGATGCTTGGTGCTCACCACGGTCCAGTAACGACTGAATACCAGTAAGACCGGCGATCGGTCGCTCACAAACACTGAAGTTTCCTTGCACGCTTTCTTGCGACTCGAAATGCCGCGCATGCAAAACTTTCCGTCGTAATAATCTTAAGCCAAGCGATACTAGTGTTATATCATTAACATTGATATTATGATACAATGTTGATAATACTACGAGTTAACATTATTAGATATTATTTACTATCGATTATTTTTATGTATTTAATAATTATAAATAAATTAACTTTTAAGTTTCCTTCATTATTATTATCAATTGTATAATATGCTGTATATTAATTGTTTCCCTGCTTCGAAATACAGTCCGTTACAGCGATATTCAAGGAGTCATTGCCACCGAGCAATCTTCTAATGTTAATCAATGCGAAAAGCGCGTTGTCAACGTGTGACTGTTAATTGCTACGAAAAACTGTAAGGCAACAAATAAAAATCACGTTTCCCGTGGTACAATGGCAGTGTTGCGAAATTGCGCAAACACGTGCTTCGCACTCAAGTGAGGATCTCCACTTAGTACCTGACCCTTAATTTACGAATTTATTCCTTACACGATGTTTACGAGCCACCTCGTCTCGACGGAATTGAGAGTCTTAGTTTATGACGTCAGAAGCGAGAAAATAAGTGAAAAAGTTTCTCGCAGCTTGCGCTTGCACAAATAATTTCTTGCCGATGAAATTGGCGCAATTGCATAGGAGTGATCTAATACA